AGTTTATTAGCTGCCATGATTATGAAATTGTCCTCAACTATAAATTTAAGATGACCCCATGGTATGCAATATACTTTTTTTTCGAAAAATGGACTACTAAGTCCAGAATCCACCTTTTATCAATTCAGACACCCAGCACTGTAGCTGCCCAAGACTTCTCCAAAGACGAAAAAAATGCTGATTACTCCCGTAGAATATGTAATGTAGTCCTACAGAATTACTTGTAGACTAATAGCATGGGCTGGAGGCCAGGTCTCCCTGCGGAGGTACAATGGCAGATCTCCCGGGGGCCATTTCCAAAACCGAGAGCTTAACAACTGAAGCACTACTCGAATTTTCAATTTTATGCATTGGTGATATCCATAACCATTGATACTTCTCTCAAATTGTAATTTGTATCTGAGATTCAAATGAAAGCATGACTTAATTGTAAATGACATTTTACCTTTAAGAATGAATTCAATTAAAAATTTGATTTATTAAAAAACAAATTTACAAAAATTCTAGAGGATGCAGTACCAACGATAGACAAATAGTTCCTTCTTTCTTCCACGAAACTTTCAGCAACGATGTAATACGCCTTCATCATAAAAAACATAAAGCTATTTGACACAGACTTTTTAATTATTAAACTGTGAAACAACTGCCACTAGGGGTGACAAAATGTGTTTTTAGTAATCTTATGAATTACTTTGCTCTTTCATTCGCCTTCACAAGGTGAAATGGTAACACATGCTTTCCCTGCATAGAATACGCAGCCGCTCCGACTTCAGACAAAAACATTTACTCGGATTAAAATAGTTGACTTTCCGTTTTATATTCTCATTCACCTCTTGAAGGCTTGCTAAGATTTGGCATTGGTGGTTGTTCAACTGGTGATTCGCGTACCTACTTAAAGGCGCCTACTATGTGCGGCTACTTTATAATGTCTACACGGATTGTTGCTGCTAGAACGTCGGCTTCCAGTGGGTCATGCATTGCCCTTATTTGCAAACAACCAATAAGGCATTAGATCGCTTGCCATGACTTTGAAAGCCCTCCCTGATTGGACGAATTCGACCACTAATGTCGCGATGCTTCTGCTCTTTTTCTGCCAGGTCAACCCAGGCGCTCGCCATCGGGGGAAGTACAAATTAGGCACTTAAATACATAAATTTGTATTTTGGACTTTGGAATCAGGCTCCGTGTAAATCAGACATCTGAGATTGGTACAGAGTACGTGTAAAATATGCTGGCTAATCACTGACTGGCGGTTGTCTTCGCAGTGGGTATTAAGTAAATGAACAGATTTTGACTAGATTTCCTCAGGATACATTCACTTCAAGACAATAAATTGCTTCCTGCCTAGATCTCTTACATTTTCGTGCTTTTACGGTAAAACGGGACGTTGTAAAACTTAAAACAATTTGGTAGCAGACCAGCAGCAATATTTCATATGGCGAGCAAAATAGTGTTGGTAGCTTAGAATGCATGACAATTGGCGAGTTCCATACAAGACTACGAAAGAAGTGGTTGCGATTGTATTTGCTGAAATTCCTAACTTTCCTCTACAGGGCAGTGATGAGGGAATCGTAATTTTTAAGACAAAAGGGGTTGCTGAAGGACAAAACGAAAAGTTAAAAATATAGTTTTTTTAATTACAAAATAGAATTTAGAGTTGTGTTGAATTCAGCTCTTGGCAAAGGAGCAAAGAAAAACAAATTCACACAGAACTAGAGAATCAAGGAAAATAGTAGAAAAAGGGTAAGATTCTTATGGGATTTTTCTGATATGCAAAAATACAGCACAAATATTGGGTTAATGGATTTAATAGTAAGATAAGGAATTTTGTAAACCGTCTGTGGGGCTAGTTACAAAGATGTCTACGGTGCCTATGTAAAGATGCCATTTAGGTGTACACGCGACACCTCCTACACTCCTCTACTAACTGGATATGGCTAAGCAGCACTGAGATGAGACCAAAGTAGCGAGGAGGAATGGACGCCATACCTCAACCCCACGCATTTATTTTAAATGCCGTCATTTGTTATATGACTCTGCTTTTGGGCCAGTAATCTTACCACTAGTGGCCGACGCACAAGATAGTCAGCACATTCCCCTTCCACCAATACAGTTTCAAAGGGGGAGGAAACTCTATGTACAGTGGAATCGCTAAGATGGACTGGTGACATAGCGATCAAATATCAACTCTTTTGCATGGAAATTTGATGTCTGGAGTGGCTTGGTCGTGGGTTTTTCTTCCAGTACCAACTGCATTGGAATGGCCAGCTTGGGCTTCTTACTAAGAGGAGCATCGGCGTCAACGCTTGAAAGGAAAGGGGGCTATGTAGTGCTTGTTCGTTTACCTGTTCGTTTTAGTTTTGGGAGCAATTAAGGCTCCGCCACTTAGCTTCGGCTATGAGGCATGGCCTTCGGACCATACTAGCAGCCCTCTAGGCTTTTCTGTACGTCGGAAATACACTTTCTGTCCTAGTATGTTGTCTTCCTTTGTCTTCGTGAAAGATTAAGAGCTTAGTAAGTGGTATCATATGGTCTGTTGGAAGGCAGAAGTTATAGTTAGTTTTTATAAATATTTTATTAGAAACAAAGTTTTGCCTGGTTACATTGTTAACACAATGACTCTATTCTGCGGACGTCTTGACCTTAGAGTTCATTTCACGTTCTTCAATTTGCATTTGAGGGCAAAATTCAGAATCTACAGCCGAAAATACACCGTGATCTCGAATGCAAGTTATTTTCTCTCGAGTTCACAGTGCCCTCGAGGGAATAAGCACTCCAACTGGCAGAGGAATTTTCATCAGCCCTCTACTCTTCCAGCTTTCGAGATGAGACTTGGAGACCCTAGTCTCTCCGTAGCCTCTACTGCCAATCTACCCTCACAATAGGCAGTATTTAACGTTTGATTCCAGAATACCGTAGCTTCACTTGTAAATGCCAGGTTACAAATCATGCTTGTGCTTCATAATCCAGTGTTACGCGTGCTATGCCTCCTGATACACAAAAATGAAGTGAAGAGAGTGAAATGAGGTATACGCGGAGGATAAGGTCAACTGAAGTACATAAAGGTAAGTCATCATTAAGAAGATCGAAATGTACCTCTAGATGAGTCGCATGAATAGTAGCATTTCACCACTACCTTCCTCAAAACATGCGATAACCGATATTTTTTATCTGTTCACCTTAAAGTACTGCTATGAAGCTTTGAAGCACTTTGGGGACTTAATTTTAGGAAAATTTAGCAAAAAAATAAAATTTCCGCAAAAAATCCCTCCCATGAAAATACAATCGATCAAGTTGATGGGTTGTCAATAAACCAGTCATAGGGGCAAATCAAAACCGATTGTGTAGAAACTGTAAAATAAAATATGATTTTATTATGCAAACATCTAACTGTCACGCCTTATTCTAATGAGATGAATGAATGCTAAGGTGAACTTTTGAGTTGAAACGGGGCTTTTAGCATACCAAAAGAGCGACTATATCTCAGGAGTGGGAACGGGATTTCATTTTTTATGCATTTCTGTTGCTGCATTCAGGAATATACTCATTCCAGCGTTCAAGTACCACCTGAAAAGCAACCTCTTTGTGGGAAGATTCATCATTACAAAGGAAACATCCTAGTATCCCAAGATGCAAAAAGGGGATATGGTAATACCCCCAAGCAGGGTTGAACAGGCTCAGCTCGGCACTGTACTCGGTGTGTGCTAACTTTCCGGTATTGCAGAGTTCTTGTTTGCGAATGACTGTGCCGTGTTCACCTTACTCACTGAAAAGTTTTGCGTCGATCATGCGTTCCACGGATGCGCTGTTAGTTCGCAGGAATGACTGCTGCACTGTGGACTGGGAACGACCTACCAAAGCCGGCTTATCAATCCCGTACTATACCTGTAGTCCTCTGCAAGTGTAGCTATGGGTGAGTTTTGGTTTGACAAGGCACCTCCTCGTTGTATACGCTCACATGTTGCAGTCATTTTTTGCCATATCGGCGAAACTCATTTAAGGTGAATTGGCCTGCAGCATTTGGGTGGTGTTAGTGTGTATTTAGGCGCTTTTGTGCCCTAGTAGTGTTATGATCTGGTGTTTGTGTGCATGTGCTTGGATCCTGTCGAGTTGCTAACCAGCGTCATCAGTGGATAAGATTTTGATACAGATGACCATTTGCTGTCAGGATGGAATAAGTAAGAGAATATAGCTTATGCATGTGTGACTAGTAAAGACTGCTGGGGAAAATTTGTGGATCAGCCTCACGTATCTGTCGTGTATGACTGCCCCTGACCTTAATATGAGTAGTAGTACACCTGAAGAATGACGACTGTCAGCCAGTCAAGAGAGACAGAGGGGGAGTTCGACGTTCCACAATGTTCTAAAAACTAGCCACGAAAACGGAACCTCATTAAACATCAAAACATGAGTGTCTTCTGGGGATGCAGGCAATCCCAGAGTTAGCACACCTGTTTAAGAAAACGTGAAATTAAAAGTTCCGTTTTGACTTAAACACGCCTGGTACATTTACTAAATTGATCTTGACAACGACGCTGACATAACTTAATCAGCCATGAAGTGCGCAACTTTGATTTTTTTCAAAACAACTTAACAGCAATGCAAACACATTCGCGTTTGTATGATCTCAGCAAGCTACACACCTACGCTCGCATTTGCATACTTGGAAGCACACGCAGTGGATGTGTCGATCTGAGCGCTCGGCGGAAAAAAAACCACGGCTGCAAGCTAAGCTAAGCGTGGCCCAACATTCATTACGCGCTCACTCGTGTCTAAGTTCTAATGACCTGTATGGAGTAGGGATGAACTGGTTCGTTATTTCATACCGTAGGTATTGGCGTCCGAATCCCCTTATGCTGAAAACTTTCTAAAGCATACGATAATTTGGGAAGTAGCTATACAGAAGGCCTCAGAGATGGGTAGCACAAGTGGTGTGGGTAGAGCTCCTCTAAAGCTGTTCGAAATTCGAATGGCGAAAGCTGAAAAACGTTCACGTAGTAATGTACGTTCCTACAAAAGATCATTTTGCTTCTTGTTTTGTAAGTCCTCCTTGACGGATCTTAGGATCACCCTTTCTTTAGTTGTTGGAAGTCGTCCAAGAAGGCTAAATTCACCATGAGACAGGAGTGATGGACACTTGATGGATAGTTCGTGAGTCACCAGAATCCTGTTGAGGCCACCAATTAGATAAGAAAGTGGTAGACTTTAGAACAAGTGTCTTTAGTGACTAAAATAATTGTGTGAGCGCAGCGGTGCTGTGTGCGTGTACAACCATGGCGGTTGGCTAGAGAAGGCCGCCGGAGACCAATTTGTGGCTTGTGTGTGGGTCACTGGGTGACTTATTGACCTTGATCTTAAAGTGAGTGAAGTATCGCATTTAATATGATCCCAATCAATCAGGCGACAATAAGCTGCGGGGATCCCGGCACACGATCGCAAACACCTGTTTTAGAGCAGCATTGCAAAAATGGCTTCAATCCCTTCGATCTTGCCCCACGTCTGGCCATTATTCGAGAGTTCTGCTGCGACACCCTCAAGATATAGCCATTCACAGTATGTCTACCTTCTGTGAGGTCTGAGCACAGCTTCCAGTTAACTAAATCTGATTTATTTTTTTTGTGGAGCAATTTGCTTGTGTTCCTTACTGTAAAGCTCAAATTGCCTCTAAAACAGTTATTAAACGGGAAGCATAAAAATAGATTTAATGCGAATGCACGGAGGGACTGGGATAGTAAAAGCGCAGGCCCATACCACCATTGTGGCAGTAGATTAGCATAAGACTTAAAGGGCGTAGGCCAATATGCTGTCAAAAAATGTACCCTTCTTCAGGAAATGGCAACCTTGGCGACTCACAACAGGACTATTAAAACTACTTCAATTGTTAATGCAGATTAACAGCTCTAGTTAGTATTTATCTTTATGCCTTGAGGTAGGTGCAAAGTGGCACAACGTTTACAACACGATTTCCACATTTTTATTATCAGATGATAAAAAATATGAATGTTTGTAAGCACTTATGCGCATATCGATTTTAAAAATGTAACATAAGGCTGGCCATTATAGTAAAACAATCTTCATTGTCAGCTTTGACATTATTCATGGAGTTGTGACCGTTTACCATTTACTACTCTCTTCATCCCCTATCAGTATCGTCTTAACCCTGCCAGCTAATTTTCTCCTCCCTCCCTCTGTTGAACGCAAACTTGTAGAAGGAGAAGCGATCTTGATCCTGTTACAAAGGGTGAGAAAGCCTGAATATTTACAACTGATTTAGCTGCATCTGGGTCGAGAAAAAAACTGCATGGACATCCTTGCCGTTTACATGAAACTCACTTAAATGAATAGGAGGCGTTTTGGGGGCAAATAAGATGGGGAAAAGGAAGGCTCACCCGACCTTGGCGCATAGTGCGTAGGGGCGCGATATGAGGATGTCGGGCTTGACCGTCCGTTAGACATGTAGTAAAGCAGGACCGTATAGAGCTCCTGGCCCGCCCTGGTTACTAACTTGACCAGCTGACTGAGGGAGTTAATCTTTATGTCGCAGAGCTTCTCAACCATAGTAGGTGGTCGAACTCCGTGTCAGAAGTGGACGGTTATGCAGGCGAGCCACGGAAAACAGTTTCTGTCAGATGTTGAAAATGCCTAGGGTACTCCTTATCGTCCTCGCCCGCTTTTTGGTAGTGAAGGGGCAAGTCTCTAGCGCGAGTCTGCTCTGCCTAGTCAATGCCGATTTGAGTTAAGGCGACACAACATTGCTCTAGGTCAGTGTGGGGGTGACGCCAGCATCTGTTACAGCTGAAAACAAATTTTGAGGGAGAGCCCAGAGGATGTTGGGTGTTAATAGAGATCAAGGATAGAGGTTGAGGTTAAATTCTGCGGTTTTGAGCCACTCTTCAAAGTTTATGCTCAACACCGATTACGTTTTGATGGATAACGCGGAAGGCTGACCAAGGGGAGCGTCAAAGTCGACACACAAAAGAGGAGAAAGGCTCTGCAATACCTTTGCTGTTTAACTTTTGGTATCGATAACGGGATTGCTTTGTGTCGTGGCCATTGTACCTTCGCCAAGTGGGCTGGCCTTTGGGTCATACCGGTAGTCCCAACCCCTACTGTATAGTAGACATAGTAGACATATATGTTCTGTCAAGGTATTATGTTTTCTTTCGTCTTCAGGTTTGGGAACCAAAACAAAGTATAACTTCGTCGTACCATGTACTGTTTTCGCTAGTCCAGAATGCATGAGAAAGGAATTCTTAGAGTCAACGCGATGATCCTGGACCCTGAAGACCTTTTAGTAAGACTGTTCCTTCTCACAAAACCATTGTGCACTGGAAATTCATGTCCAAAATTTGTTTAAAATAAGTACCCTCCATCGGTAGGTTTTATTTCGAGCATCGCGTATGGAATGGTACTTGTTTTGCTTATGTCTGCGAGTCGGTTTCTCTATAGACATAAGTGTAAGCTACTTTCAAAGTTGCATAGCTTAAAACCTCTTCCAAAGCAAATGAGGGGCTGCAATAAAATTGAGGTTCCTCTAGTAATCGCCACGCTTTGCAGGCCGCATCAAGGCCCTGGCTGTGTTTGCATGTATCGAAGTCTACGACATTGCGCCCGTTCTTTTATGCCCCTTAAATTAGAATCCCGTAACACACCCGATCCCCAAAAGAATGGTGCAAACCTGCGAGGCAAGGAGGAAGCCTAAGAGTGGCATAATGGAGCGTGTGGAATGACAAGGTTTGATCTGTTATGTGCTCAGTTGAGCTATCAGTGAGCACACATCTCCACGTGACGGTCTGCTGACATGCCTCATGTTTGTCTAGTCTCGTGCAGCTCCTCTCAGGGTAACTAATTTTCCGCTCAAGGTGCCGTATAATAGCAGTGTCTCCTGACCTCTCTCAAAGTGGCCACTGAAACGTTTGCATAGTGAAGAGGTAGATAGTTTTTGCAAAATTTATTTTTTTATCAAATAGGCAATAAAATCACCCTCAAAAAAGAACGCCTTAAGTCAGAACACTTGTGTATTTTGTAGGACAAGCAATTCATAAACGTTATGTGCAACAGGTTTGAATGAGTCCGTTAGGCTAGAGGCCGTCAGTAAATAAGAGCCTCCCAACTGAAAGGACGCTGTCAGCCCCCGAAAGGGTACGTACTCGGAACATACATAGCCGTGATTCCTGTACCCCATTTACTATCCCTACCCAACTCATCTACTCTTTCCAAGGGTATGAAGTCTGAGGTGGCAGAGAGACAAGCCTAGACCTATCACAATTATTCCATTTTTTTGCTGCCAATGTCGAAGTTAGCTTGTTGGAGTGGGTGTACAAGGTTTGTTTCCAAAAATGGCAATTCTAGAATAAGCTGTGGCGAATTTTTAAAAGTTACTGGTGTACAATATGAAAAATGCAAGACCAATTGTCAAAAAGGTGCTTTTATGTTACCTCACTGAAACTAACTTCTGATATACATCAGGTGATATTCCATAGGTTTCTTTTTGATCTGATTAGCGGGATTCGGATAATACTTAAATAACCAAAAATAGCGAATTTTATAAAAGACCTAAAAATTGAGTGTCACTTCACTGTCAGAATTGGTCACTCTTCAGACAATACGGTTAGAAAAGGCTTTTTTGAACATTGAGGTGTCCACATCCGATTATCAGTCACGCAACAATGATGAGACAACTGTAAATGACTTTTTAGGCCTTGGTTAGGGCATTTCCAGCTGGCAAAAACAATTGTTGGCATTTCCGAGTACATAGGTTTCAAATGAAATCAAATGGGAATAGTACCGCTACTTTGGGATGTGGGAGGATGCTGTTTGCTTTACTGATGAAGAACATTACGCAACTTGGTTCAGCTACATGTAAAATCAGTAGTGATGATCCAAGTAAAACATTTATTTTCACTTTATTTCATCGATTCAATGTGCATTGAGAGGCGTCGAGAAATTTGCTTGAGAGGAAGTTTAAAGCCTGGCAAAGTTTTAATTGTGGGGCAAAATGGGCCACCTGAAAGCACCTTATCAGCATTCCCATAATGACCTAGATGCTTTCCTTGACCCATTTTACTGCCTCTTTGCTAGCATAAAATAAAGCCCAATGTGTTGGATTGACTGACTTTTTGGCCTGGATTCCTGGTTTATTAGGGGCCTGAAATAACCGCGAAATTGGAGTTAATCGCCAACATTCATTGAAAAAACCATATTTTGGAAATATTCTTATAGGGAAAATGCAAAAGAACAAGTAAAGCAGATTTTGTGGTATTTAAGTCTGAGGAATAAGCCTTTAGAAAAGAATTATCACAAGCGAAATGAGTACTATCGTCAAAGTGGAACGTTATGCACCGCGTATGGCCTGGCATCATGACAAGAATTAGCATTCTAGACCGATCAAGTGCTATGTGACCTTTTACGTGTTAAATCTACCCTACACCTACCCGTTACAGGAGACGACGCCAGTACTGTAGCACATGCCGGATGCAGAAGTTAACTAAGGCGCGGTGACTAAGCCACCACCACGTCAGCACAAATGGAGCGGCTGGTCAGCATCCACGCGTGCATCACCTCGTCGTGGGTGTATCTGCGCCTCTAGGCCTCAGCTGACCTGTGCTCAGGCGCGTGCAGACAAAGCACAGTCTACCCTGCTGCAAGTGCAAAACATCGATATTCTGGACTCACAAGTGCGAATTACGCGCTATTGGCAACGGGCGCACTTTAGCTGCGTGCGGCAAACCACTAACCAATCAATCAGTTGATCAATACTTTCCTGCGTGTTCATGCAGTTCTGTTAGTTAGATACAAACAAAAAATCACAAGAATGATAAAATGTAACTAAAATATAACCTAGTGAAAAAACAAGTAGAATTTTTTGAGCTTAATTAGGGCGTTATTTACAAATTAGTTAAATTGTACTATGAGCATTGATAGTGCTGACTGTTCGTATTTGCTTGCTCTAACGAATGAGAAGTGACTTCTTGCGTACTCATCGATCTGCATAGCCGACAAGAACAACACTGTTGAGTGATAAGTGATCGAGTCCTTAAAAACGGAAAACTATTCTCCAGAATGGCGTTTGTGTGCGGGTCTCTTTTATCACCTACTGAAATGAATGTTTGCTTTAGTGTACTTTTCTGGTCTATGGCAATGATGGTTTTATCAGCTTTGACCCTTGGGTCAGAGGCCCAAAGATGACAAAACATTGGGATTGTTAACTTCCATGTTACTTATAATACTTGCAAAAAGGCGTCAAATGTCAATCCCAAATGATTAATCATCACTTTCGCTTTTTGGCTTTATAGTAGAGCAAACACTTTTGCTAGTGCAATCATCGAGTCATGATGAAGGGCGATGGCAAAATTCCCTATATTTGTAGATCATGGGGGTATCTGTGGTGGACGCTTCCATTCAAATAGGCGTCGTGTTGGCCATGGTTCCACCTTAAAGGCATTACTAATAGCAATTCTCTCAAAAAAAATTTTCACAACAAAAGTTTTAAATTGCGATGCGTCTGATGGCATTATAGCGTCCTGAGTCTTACCTGAAGACGAAAGAAATGATAATACTGGGATGGGTTACGAAATGCCGACGTGTTAAAGGGTTGGAGGGCCACTGGGACGGCCTGGACACCATCCCCCTAAGCGAAATTTTGAAGGGGGAGTTTTAATGTGCCTGAGAAACCAAAATGAAGGCTTAACAATTATTGTTTTCAAAATCAAATAATAGCCGAAGTTAGATACTTTAATTTTATGCAACGTACCAATCACGAATCAGCCCATACGGTAATTTGCGTCCATGCTAATTGACAATGTGAGAACGAGTGTGGACACTTTGATCCCTTTGAAGTATTGGATCAAACTATCACGCATTGTGAAATAAAAGTGACATGATAGGGTTTAGAACTGTGAATAAGAACCATAATTCCGTGTAGTTCGCGGAGTGCCCTTTCTACTTGTAGCAAACTGAGTACTTCGTAAATCAAATTAAGCATGGACTATAACTTTAGAAACTTTACCCCCACAAAATTAGAAAGTGGGAGTTATGGTGCTGTGGCACTGTATTTGAATGTATGGACTCTCGAGTCTCTGTGGATTTTGTTTTAGGTAGGCGGCATGATCTTATGGGTATGACCAACTCCTCTCAACCAACCTGCACCTTGGTGACGGATCTCTGATTCTACTGTTATGGACTAGACCCGTGGAAGAAATCGTGGCGACGTATTAGTCCCAACGGCAAGATAACCTAGGGGTAACAATTCATAACAATTGCACTCATTACAGAGCATTGTCAAACCTTTGGCAATACGAAGCCAACGAATACCTCCTCCCCCTTCAATTTACCCTCCAATACAGTACACACATAGTACGGAATTCCCGGTAGAGTGGAATTACCTAAATGCATCTTCGATGCTGAGAACAGATGTCCTCTCCCCAGTATGACAACTCAGTGACTCCTATTCTTAACTCGTGAGTGTATTGTAACAGAGCGACTACGTTGTGATGACCGGGGCAAAAAGATGACAACGCAGAGAAACAGAGACGACACTCTAAATGCGAAGAAGGCTACATGGAAATTTGATATTCTATTGGACTCTATGTTGAACTAGGCGGGACTTGTCAGACTCAGCAAGCTGTACTCCTGTTTGGCAGCATGGCTCTCTCACCATGACTATATCCTCCGCATTCTCCCTCACGTTGGAAATAAATCATACTGACATGGCTCAATACAACTTTGGGGAAGAGCTGGATCACGATATTTACAAGGGTAGTTTTGCGCCTTTTGGGGAAACGGATATTTATAAATCTTTGCCGCTACTTAGGGTTTACCACAAATTATCTTCGTTGAAATCCTCCAGAATACATACGTTACGGTAATTCGAGGGGAAAGTTGTGGCCATCTTTGGAATACTTTAATAAATCGAGAAAGCTATTTTAAATGATTTTCCATTCTTTTAGAAGTGAAAGTAGACTTTGTTCCCCACTGACTGTTCTAAAAATACATTAAATACACTTATCATGATTTGCCGTTTATTTCATTTACACGGGTCCTTAAGTCTGCGCAAATTGCGCGTTTGACTTGCGGCATGTCCTCTGGGTCATGCTGGTGGCCTTCCAGCACTTCTATGCATTAGTAATATACGTTTTTCATAGTACTGAAGCAGCAGCGGCAAGCCAACCTGGTGCAAAAGTACACTCATTCAGATCAAGCATTGCCTGCATCAAAGTTATAAAACTTGCATTTGAATAAGGGCTCACGATAGAAATAAATTGATTTAGACCAAATTTTAGGGGCTTATAATATGGTTCCCTGTGTTCAGTAAAGGTGTGCTGTATCAAAACTATGGATCGTAAGGTTAGTCGTGGCACTTAATACTACTTGGTTGCCAATTTGCTTAACTGCGTGTGTCTCTGAGTCGTCTCAGATTGTACGTCTACTCTGTGGCACAACCTTTGGGCCATGCTGGCAGCCTCCCAGTCATTCGGCGCATTAGTGATACAGGCTCTCCACAATATCTTAGCTTGTTACCGCTTCAGAGGAAAAACATGGGTGTTTGAACTAACCGTTGTAACATTAATACTTGCTTTAAGACGTACCGTTTGGCCGAACTCTGTCATTGTGTGTCAGTAATCCATAGCTTAAATCTAGAATTGTACGCGTAAATTCGACGCCACTCTTAGTGCATATCAAAAAACTTTCAGCAATAAATTTTTCAAATTATTCATTCGTGATGGCAAAAACCTTGTGTTATAACATTTCAAATAAATCATTGAAATGTGCCAAATAACTTAATTAGGTTTGGCGCGCGGTACCCAGTTTTGTCTCTTTTGTTGGTTTGTTCTGTCTATCGGTATGTCTGGAACTCCTGCTTCGGGCCCAGTGGGCACTTTGAATCCACAAACTGCTACATCTACCATACCTCCTGTATCAAATCCTAAAAACAAGGAAATTTACAAATACGAAGCGCCCTGGAATATCTACTCTCTTAATTGGTCACTGCGACAGGATAAACGCTTTCGTCTAGCGGTTGGAAGTTTTATCGAGGAATACAACAATAAAATTCAAATAATCACTCTCGATGAGGAACAGGGTGAATTTGTCGCCCAGCCTGCTTTTAATCACTACTATCCAGCCACGAAAGTAATGTGGATGCCAGACCCAAAAGGCAACTGTCCGGATTTACTGGCTACGAGTGGGGATTATCTCCGCATATGGAAAGTATCTGAAAATCCCACAAAACTAGAATGTACACTTAATAATAACCAATCTACCGGTTTCTGTGCGCCACTGACCTCCTTCGATTGGAATGAAGCTGATCCGACAATTATTGGTGCTTCCAGTGTGGATACAACGTGCACGATTTGGGGGTTAGAGGTGGTTCAACAACTTTTTTTTCCAGCTGATTTATTTAGACTCAACAAGCTATTGGACGAACTCGAAATGTTAATGGTCATGTTAAAACGCAAGTAATTGCCCATGACAAGGAGGTTTACGATATAGCCTTCAGTCGCGCAACTGGTAATCGAGATATTTTTGCTAGTGTTGGTAAGTTTTGCCTCCTTCATTAATCGTATTGCCGTACGATGAGGATGGTTTAACGCAGGAAGAGGAGAGCATCATTGTTGATTGTTCTTATTATTAACACCACTCACTGCTCTGGCGTACTGATAGATTTTGAGGCCATAAATGGATATCTTAGTCATTAGAGAAGCTACTTTTCTTATAAGCCTCCATTAATGATCCATTATTCTATCTCCCAGGTGCGGATGGGTCAGTGCGTCTCTTCGATCTTCGGAATCTCCTGACATCCACCATAATTTATGAGAATCGTAACCGGACCCCACTTTTGCGTCTGGCGTGGAATCGACAGGACCCCAATTATATCGCCACCTTTGCAATGGACTCTAAGGAGGTAGGTTCACGAATCATGGCTCCGGATTGATGGGTGGGAAGATGAAGTGGATGAATAGACATATGATTATAAGAGTCATTTAAGTCAAATCGGTGCATTTGAGTCCATGAGAGACATGAAATAATACATAGCAGGAAATGGGAACCGCATTTGTATTCCTATGTGGTTCATCACCAATACTGCGACGTCTAACTTATGCCTAAAGGACAGATTCGCCATCGAGAATTTATTTACATATTTGAAACATCCTAGAGGAGCATGCAGAAGGCGCACTCCAACTTTTCAGTTATGCACACTTTTGCGTTAGCAAATAATTGTGTCGTGTTCATAGTTCCCACTGAAATGCTTGTCTCTTCTGCGGTTCCACCGCAGCTCATGCGTCGATCAGGCGTTCTACATTCTGATAAACGCTTGCAAGAATGAGTAACTCACTTTTGAGGCTGTTTGACGTCTCCGTTGACAAGGTGCTTGATTTATCATCCACTATACGCTTCCTACACCCACTCACCATTATCATTCTCCCCCCCTGTCTTGATGATTGGTGTCAGGACTGGGCTGGACTCGGCTTGCCCACGGTATCTGCGCAGGCACGCATTACAGGTTCTAGTACCATTCTGTTGATTCTCTACTTCGGATTTATTAGTTTGAATCGGCCCCTCCTTGCGGATTAGTTTATGAATGAAAAAAATTAGGGAATGGGTGGATGAATCTCTTTACCCATTCCAAGCATCCCTACTATAGGTAACCATACTGGACCTCCGTGTTCTCTCCACACCAATGGCCACGTTGGATAACCACCGGGGTTATCTAAACGGACTGGCCTGGGCGCCGCACTCGAGCTGTCACATTTGCACTGCTGGCGAGGACTGCCTGGCGCTGATTTGGGACATACAGTCGATGCCAAGGGCAATCGAGGACCCAATTTTGGCCTACACAGCGGCAGCGGAAATAAACCAGATCCAGTGGAGCGCTCTTCAACCTGACTGGATTGCAATCTGCTATCAAAATTGCCTGGAGATATTGCGTATTTAGTGAGGTCGTTCGCCCTGTGATAACTACTCTTGAACTTTAAGTATTTCACCGGCAGGAGTCGCGTGACCACTTATCATTTTGTCCATCACTTGTGATTATTTCTAAATTCTTGTACATGGAAGATTGTACTTTATCCATGTGGTTCTATTGTTGCTGGTGTGGGCCTTTTTGACTGTTTGGGGGTGGTTATTGCTGTTATGATTCTCAGTGAATCCCCGCAACATGGGGAAGGAGGTAGTATCGTCTTCGTGATGTGTGTGGGTGTTTGTCTGCCTTACAATGGGAGTGATTGGGCTGATTTGGGGGGGAGGGGGGGATGAGCGTCTTTTCTGAGATAACGAGTTTTGAAGAAGGAAGAGGACAAGGAATTTAATTGAGGGGTCGACTCAGAGGTTCCTGAGAATCCAACTACCTAATATAGTTGTAGCTAAAAATGGTATGCAGGTTCTCATGACACATTGCAACATCCACACTTCTCAGAGTTGATAACACGCGACGCGCGAACTGTAGTCATCTGACAAGTAAATTAAGCCGTACACTTCAACCGCAGTATTCGTAGCGAATTTATACTTTTCTAGTAACTTTCAAAGGTAACGAAGTCGTTGAATACGAATTGATGCGGCACTGACCTTGAAATATTTAAGCCGTGTGAACCCGCTGGACTTGTCTTGGATATCATTGGTCTCAATGCCCTCGTACTACAGGAATCCATTTATCGAAGGTTCAGAAAGTCTCCCATCGGAAGATGATGTAGATTCTAACTGTGGAAATTTTACAATTTAAGGTTGGCAAGACTGTAAGGGATAAGTGTATCAGTGCCATCAGTAATTTATGCAGATACATGAACGATCAAATCGACTCCATTAATTGGCGTGATCTCTCGATTTACACCGGTGTATCAGGTAAATATTGCATGTACATTTGTATTCATGTATTCATTATGGGCTTAACTATTCATTGTTTTAGCATTCGGAAGAAAATTGTTGAAGGGCTCAATTTTAAACATACTTGCACTTCATTTACCTTTACGACTTTAATGTTCATTAAGTCATTTGCTGCTTCACTGATACTCTGGATTTCATCCGGTTCTAGGCTTATTTCATACTTTTTGTAGGTATCCTCTTTGTGGGACTGAAGTTGCAGAGGGATCATGAGCTTACGGAAAACGCTGATGTTTGTCGATTCATCCAAACGGTGAACGAATTCATTGATAAGGCCTATAAAAGACGCAGTAAATCGAGGCTGAGTGAAAGAATCAGTGTTTTTACGAGTGACTACACAGCACCTTGTTTGGTTATGGCGCTCTCTAAGGCATCCAATGCCTCGAAAGCATTCATGGGTTTCAGCAGATGTGCAAAGTATGCAGAATATGAAATACCCGATGAGGCACTCTATGGTCGTGTGGGCTATCTAGCCGGGATCCTAACTCTCTTAGATAATGGTCATCAGATTGATGAAGATGACGTGCGTAAAGTAAGCGTATTTAGCCGACTTTGAATTCATTCATTGTTAGAGATACCCTCTCTGTCTTCTCATCTGGACTACTGTTTCTTTTTCAGATTGTGGAAAAAGTCCTTCACGAAGGTCGTTCTCTCTCTGAGAAGGTGGCTTCACGTCCGGGTATGTACAGTGAACTGATGAAAGGTATTGGGAAACCACCCATCTGTCCGCCTCTCATGTTCATGTGGCACGACAAATTTTACCTCGGGGCTGCTCACGGCTTTGCCGGGATTCTACACATTCTATTAAGGGTACAGTAAGCTCATTAAAGTCATGTACCCCTTGTAATTGCTACGTGGCCGTTTTTTCACGCGCAATTTTTTCAGTGAGTAGTAGCCTGAAATTATCGGCTGTTTTTGCTCACAAAGATCGCTTTAGAGTTAACTATCATGGGGCTTAATACCTTTTAACAAACGTAGTTTTAACTCTGGAATGTGCAGGTTTGGATTTACTATAATACTTCTGAACAATTTTACTTATGACCTAGTTGTCTCATCTTACTCTGCTTAGTGTAAACATTTTTTTTCGGCCACGTTGGAATGGTCCTCCGAATATGTCGTTTGATTCCTGGCACTTTCCTCATTTCTGTTATTATTTTAGGGTCATTTTCCCTCGCTTTGAGTTGTGTAAATTATGTTGCTAAGTCTCAGCACTATGCAGTGTGTGTTAAAAGACTTCAACTTCTTGCAACTGTACTACCTTAACTATAGGGAATACCTATTGGTTGAAGCCGCTGTTGTATTGGCTTCATTTTGCTTCTAGCGCTTCGAACTTCTTTGCCCTCAACCGGGATTCTGTACATCCTTTATCTATCTATTAAATGAGCCGTGTATGGGGTTTGATGCTTAGCTATTCCTTGTGTAATCAGATTATAACGTATTTCTTTGTGCAATTTCTCTTGGAAGGCTGATCAAGTGTTCTCATGACCCCATCCCAAATTACAAATGGTTAACACTTTTCCCTCTGCTTTTGGATTTATAGGGAGGTGCCTGCTGTTTGACATTTTAAACTGCTATAATTGATGCCTCAATTTCTTTCGGTAAATGCAATTGTAATTCTCTAAGACGCCTTATTTGTTTTTAAGCAGTTCTAGTAAGCATTTAACTTTCACTTCTCACTCATTGTACCGTGTCCATTGACTATTTTCTCCGTCTTTTTCAACTTTTCCGTGATGTTATCAGTATTTGTGAGTGTGCCTCGGTTGATATTTGAAAGTTTTATATGTTGCTATTCTGAGTACTTGGGCATTTATTTTGAAATCTGCACTTTAAAACGTAAATTTGCTCTTGGTACCCGCCTTGTCTTTAAAAAAAAAAAAACAATTCTTTGCGTTATAATTAGCATTGGAACAACTGTTTTTATAGGTTTTCGAGTTAGCTTTTTCTGCATAACTAGTAATGCGTACGTCCTTTATGGTAATCCTTAACTCATCATCCATCGTGGGTCTGTTTTCTCTACCTATTTTAAATTTTTAAGGCCCCAGAAGCGATTGTAACCATCCTGAAAGGGTCCAATGATCATTTGGTTGGCGCATCACACTCGTTGTTTTAGTATTCCTACTATGCTATTTTCAACAGGGAGTTCTCCTGGGAACTGGACTCCGTAACCTCTGTGCTAATCTCATTAAATGTGTGCTCACTGTCTCCATCTTTGTGATTAAATTAATAATGTGGATATAATTCCGTTTCGGTTGTTCCGTACCAATTACTGTACGCTACTCGGAAGGCATTGAATATGTCTTCCTGGAACAATGCAACTAAGTTAGTTAACTCCAATTATCTTTTGGTTGGCGAATATTACGGAAGCATATCTTCATTGCGTAACTATGATTACAATCGCTACTACTTGGAATAGGTTAACTTCTGTCCATGTGTTTAGCAAACTCAAAAGTGCCGGTGTGGCTCGAACACCCATCATAACATTTATTTACTTACTTAACTACGGGTTAAATGAGTAGATGGATGTCCAATTTCGCGTGTAGCTAGTTGTGAACAAGGAATAGATACTATGTAAGACTGTTTTAGGGGACACACGTATTCCTCCTTTTCAACAAGGTGTTCTGATGCTACATTTGCCTTCGCACACCTATTCCATTGTCCACCTGACGACTGGCCTGAGGAACGCCCTCAGTATGCAGAGATTTGTCAGTACACACTGGGTACCTAGGAGGTACCAGGATGGTTCGGGAGTACTAACTTTTCTGTACCTCACATCATTCGTGTTTGTCAGCGATTATATTGTATCCACCGTAATCACAGTGGGATTCGTCTCTAGTCCGATTTTGTCTCGAAAGGCGATGTGTTGATCAAGCTCCCAGCACCAGACATGCATTTCATACACTAGCTGAATGTTTGAAAGAATAACTGAGTGACTGATGGGGCTGTGTGCTAGGAACCGCCATGGTCGGGGCCGCCACTGACAGATGTACAGTTGTCTGAAACTTTTCTATAAATATTCGTGAATTGGAATTTGACGCCTTCTTTGACAAGAAGCTTGCTTCATCATTCACCATGCTCTGTTGTATGCATGATGTGTGCAATTATGTCC